AAACTCAAAATAAAAAGCCTAACATTAAAGATTGGCAAAATTGGCAAAACACAGCAAGACTTATTCTTATTAAGAGGGAAGGGGACAGGAGGGGAGGGGAGTGGATAAACCTACAACACAAAACTATTTAGAAAGTAAATTTAGTGTAAATGTCAAAAGAAGCAAGTGGTACATCTGCCCCCAAAAGAACACTCAAAGTATTTTAAAATAAGGAAATGAAAATACCGATAGTGATCTTTCCTATTATTCTGGCAGGCCTTAAAGGTTGCAAAACACTTTGTCTTTACTAATGTGTATGAATCTTGATAAGTTTATTCCTCAGGGCTTTGACCATTTACATATCCACAGAGGAATTCTTTAAAGATTATAATCTGCCTTGAAAAAGAAGAATAAACGTACTGACTATAAATGAATAAATGGAACTAAAACCAATGCAACCTATGAAAAAAATCTTTTTATCTCAGATAGGAAGTGAATATTTGGTCTAAAGAAAATAAACTCCTTACACAGCTAGGTGTAGTGCAGAGGCTCTGGATTTTCTTCTACCACGTGATTCAGACATTCAAATAGAGTCTCTCCTGATGTTCTTCATGATACCCACATCTCAGAATGAATCAAAATCCCAGTTAAGATTCATTAATTCTTTTTTTAATATTTTTCTATTTTTATTTTATGTGTGTGAATGTACTGACTGCATGTATGTGAGTGCACTCGTGTCGTGCAATGCCGTGGAGGTCAGAAGAGGGCTTCAGACACCCCTGGAACTGGAGTTAAGAACAATTCATAGCCGCCATGTAGGTGCTGGAACTCGAACCCAGGTCATCTGCAAGAGCAGTCAGTGCTCCTAACTGCTGAGCCATCTCTCCAGCCCCAAGATTCACTAATTCTTTTAAACTGAAATTCAGTAACAGAGATCATGTTCAATTTCTACTTTCATTATGTCTTAGATATAACCTCTAAGCATTTTTCCCTAGGAAAATTTTGGGATCCAAGTTAGAGAAGTTGTAAAGTTTTCTTTTAAAAGGATTGATTTCTGAGCCAATGAGATAGCTCAGTAGTAAATGTGTTTGCCGCCAAGCCTGACAACCTGAATTTGATCTCCGGGACCCACAAGGAAGAAGGAGAAAACCTCCACACACCCCTTATGGTACTAGTGCAAGCTGGCTAGTATTTACCCAGGCTTGCCTAGAAGTTGTTATGTAGGTGAGGGTGACCTTAAAAACATGATTTTCCTGCTTCCACTTCCCAAGTCCTGGAATTAGGGGTGTGAGCCACCACACCTGACACAGTTTAAACTTTTTGAACCAACATTTTGCTCTATTATTTCTGTTTGGCAAGTTTATATCTGTCTCTTCTGTTTCACTCAACCGCTATGAATGGTTCTATTTATTTTATATATCGGTCAGTTAAGGTTGACAAACTGACCAAGTGGCATGTTTTTAGTAACAGTGGTGAAAATAAAACAGCCATCAGAGCTTCTTCTGCAAAGTCATCTGGAAAGTCAAGCTTTTAACATTTCTTTCAGAAGTGCACATACTACCTGATACCACCTACTTGATACAAGACTAATAAATTCAGGATTTTTAGTTTTCATATTCACAGCATATTAAGTATTTGTTTCCACCAGGTCCTCTACATACACTGACCCATCTAAACACCAGCATACCATGAAACATTATCTCATATGAACAAAGCTACTAGTTAAAAAATATGCCCAAAGATTATACAAAAAGAACAGCAAACAAGGCCTATAGACACTTCCTGACTACTGAAAATCCCTTGAAGACTAGAAACAGTTCTGTCCTGAGTCCTTAATAACATGCATTCCAAACAAGCACTAAATATTTAAAATAAATATGCAATTACTGTAATATATTAATATAATACCAATAGTCTAAACTTTTCCCTTCATTTACCTACCCTTTCCGGAGCATCTCTGGTCACAAATTCAGCCAGCAATCATTAAGCATTGAATTAATATGTGACTATCATAAAGCACTCATGCAAATGTGTATTAGTAGAAATAATAAATAAAGCGGTCCCCTTTACTCATGGGAAATATGAGACCTCCCCTCATCATGAATATCTGGAACTGTAGATAATACTGAACACTGACACAACTGGAACACGTTTTCTGTTCCTGTCTCCCACCCACAAAATTAAGGATGTTTCCATCTTAACTAAGTGCTTATCATGCGCAATAGTCTTGAGATGCAACAGTAAAACCTGCATTAATTTCTTTTCCTTCACAATTTCACAGAAAAAAAGATTCATGGTTACAAATCTTAGCACTGTCATATTTTCCTTTTTGCTTTGCCTTTTCCTCATGTAGAGACCTTTCAACTTACTTAAAGGTAACACTTCCCGTTGGCATATGTGAATTTCCAGTATCAATCCACAAAGAGAAATTTCAAAGAGTTCAATTTTAACTAAAGGGAGATATAAAAATTCATTCACTAAGTCTTAACAAGTCTTCAATTATGGTCATTTAGTGGAAAATAATGTAAAGAAGGTGGAAAGAAAGGCCAGGAGGGAAATAAAGAGGGCTGAGGAGGTAAGTGGGTCAGTAAGCCACACAGGTATGAGGACTTAGACTGAGACCCAGCACCCACATAAAAGTCATGTGGCATGCATCTATAATACCTACGTTCTGGAAACAGAGAAAGATCCCCTAGAGTTGCTGGCCAGTCCACCTGGCTCAATTGGTGAGCTCTAGGATCAGTGAGGGATCCTGTCCCAGAAAATAAGGTGGAGAGCAACAGATGCAGGACTCTGGATGAGAGAAAGAGAGAAAGAAAGAAGAGAGAGAGAGAGAGAGAGAGAGAGAGAGAGAGAGAGAGAGAAGAGAGAGAAGAGAAAAACAAGTATCATCACAAAGAGAAAACATATAAAAACAGAATTTTCCAGACAGAAAAAAGCTTGTCATTCATTACGTTTCACATGTAAAAAACACAGTTTGTAAGTAAAGTTACTGCCCTCAGAAACAAAACCACTGACTTTTAAAATAAAAGTTTATGCCGGGCGTGGTGGCACACACGTTTAATCCCAGCACTTGGGAGGCAGAGGCAGGCAGATCTCTCTGAGTTTGAGGCCAATGTGGTCTACATAGCAAGTTCTAGGCCAGCTGGGGCTACACGGAGACCCTGCCTCAAAAAGACCAAAATATATATATATCCCAATTCTGATTAGAAAAGCTTTAGTAACCCACCAACAGTTTTGGTTTTGGGGATTTTTTTTTAAACCTGGGACTTAATATACCTATGGTCTTTGGGATCTCCACCCTTAAAATAAAGCAATGTTGTGGGTAGAGAGATGGCTCAGCAGTTAAAAGCACTGGCTGCTCTTGCAGAGGACCCAGGGTTGATTCCTAGGATCCACATGGCAGCTAACAACCATCCATAACTCCAGCTCCTGGGGATCCAATGCCCTCTTCTGACCCCCATGGGCACTGCACAACACAACACAGGTGCACCTACCTACATGCAAGCCATACACCTACACACATAAAATGAAAAATAGCCATGTGCCTGTCAAGGTGCATCAGCAGAAAGTGGTAAACTGTGTCCAAACCATTCTTGTACAACTCTGGTGCCTAGGCCACAGCAGTCACTAGATGGAAGGGGGGGTGCTCCAAAGACACCCTAATTGTGGCCCCGAGACACCTGACCTCAGACATTTTGCCTTGTGATAAAAAGGAATTATCAAAGAGGGCCCTTCTCAAAGTCCCCATGCCTGCAGAGGAGTACTAGGTGGTTAGTGGAGGATGTTGGGGTGTCGGGTGTCAGCAGCTTCTATCTGCTACAAGCCCTTTAGGGGCTGCCGTGATGCAGTATTCTCTAGCAGCGTTTTGCCTCTGCCAGAGCCCCAGATGCCAACCCAGCTGGGAAATATTTTGGTTTAATTATAGCTCCTGGACCAGAGAAAGAATTATTTTTTTGGTTATCAATAAGGCAAAAGAGCTGCTATGGTGTGACCCTCTAAACGCAAGCCAGCTGTTTCTGGGAGCTCCCGAGGCTGCTGTCCCAAAGTCTCCCTACTATCTCAACCCCAGCACAGCCTAAGAGTTAATATGTGTATCTGAGATATGTCTCCAGCAGCAGCTGTGGAGGCTGGGGGCTGGGTGGGGAACTGGGATGCTGAGCCACAAGGGGGCAGCATGTCCGGGAAGTGGCTGCCCGTGAGAAAGAGGAATTGACTGTAAAGTTGAAAAGACCTGGCTGGCCTTAGCAGGAAGAAGCTCCGCCCCTTTTAAACAATCAACTCATTCAAACCACCAGAACCTGAAAATGCAGAGATGAGGTAGGAAAAAGGAAATTAAGAATTACAGGACAAGAGCTGCCTGATACCTCGGGAAACACTTAGAATAAGCCTGTTAAAGGGACGGTGATCAGGGGCTGGAGAGATGGCTCAGAGGTTAAGAGCACTGACTGCTCTTGCAGAGGACCGGGCTTCAATTTCCAGCACCCACATGGCGGCTACGAACCATCCTTGACCCCAGTTCCAGGGGAATCCAAAGCCCTCTTCTGACCTCCACAGCACTGCACGACATGGGTGCACTCATACACGCAGGCAATGAAAATAATAATAAAAAAAAAAATTAAATGGGCGGTGATCTTCACAGAAAAAAAGTGGAAGTTTAGGAGGCCAAATAACATCTACAACTGGGGATTAGCAGGAGTGGGATTTAGACATAAAAATCTGCCCCCCTTGTTGCTAAGGGACTTGTCCAAGAGAAGACAGAGAAAAAACCCACATGCAGAGAGATATCTCTTTAACACCACCTCCCTCTACAACCAGTATGTGTTATGATAATCAAACTTGTCTCTCAGCATGTTGGTCCTCCCACATCCCCATGAAACCCCCATGGCTGCTCCATATGGCCTGAAATTTTGTGCAACTTTGTGCCCAACTTCTCCACATTCCCTCCTGCTAGACTTGCAGAGAACAGAGCAGGTAAAGCTTGAGCTAAGACCTACAGTGAGTCAAGACCTTCAGTGAGCTTAGCCAACAGCACACCTGGCCCACAGCACGACCTGATCTATCACAGACACGTCAGCTTTGCTCCAGTCAGGATGCGGGACTTTTGGTGACTTAGTAAATCCCTTTTCGAACATTCCCTTCCACTGCAGCTGTGTCATCTCTGGATGGCTATTTGGGGAGAGCATGGGGACAGGTGGGCTAAGAAAACAAGACTCCTTCTCTATGAACAGAACAATATTTACAAGGGTGGAAGTAGGCAAGTTCTGGGCCTCTCCCCTGGCTGGGGGCCTTTCTAGCAGTCTCACTCCTGCCTGACATCTGAGCTCTGCAGAAGGGTGAGAACTACCAAGAGGAAGTGGAAGAGAGCTGGGACAGCTACAGCCAATGGGATAAGATGGCTCCCAGCTGGTGTGTCAGGTCCCGAGGCTGCTATGAACCAGGGCAGAGGCCTGCTGTCTGCTCAACTGCCAGGAGGGCCCCACTGAGCCTTTATTGGTGGGTAGTTGGCCAATGGCTTCATGCTAGCACCACTGAAAGCATTTTGGGCAGCTGAAAGACAGAGATTCTGGTGTAGGACACCCCAAAAAGCAGCCTAGGGTACAGTATGTGCCTCTAAGTGAGTAGTCATTTAGGGCCAAGGAGTGAGGGCCTCAGACTGCAGGGTCACCGACCTGCAACTGACCCCCTGGTTCTATGAACTTCGAGCTGAGTGGGTGTGGAGAGTGTTGGACCACCGAGTCTCATTTTCCGTCTGCAAAGCAGATCTCGTCCAAGGGCAAGATGTTGGTCCACAGTGAGGTAGGGAGCCAGGTTGGGTGTGCCAGGGGCATCTGGCAATATTGATGCCACTGTGGGGGTGGTTTCATGGAGGCCACTGCTTTGGCCAGACTTCCTGGCAACATGCCAGTCCACTGGCCACTCCTGGGCAGGGCTCCTCTACCATTTAGGAGTCTCTCAATCCAGGGCTGGGTTTGCTATAACCATGGCAACTCATCCCCTGGTGCATGGGGAAGACAGTCTGCTTTGTCCCACTCACAGTATAGTATAGGGGAGCAGCAGAGAGATTAAAAGCAGGCTTGAGAAACCAGGACCTTCCCAAGGGGTCCCAATAACAGCAAATGTAAACAGTGTCTTATCTGGTAGACTTTTCTCTGCAGATACTCATAAGGACAGATTCCCCACCATCCCTAACACTGATGTGCTGGACACAGCTGAGGTCTAGCTTTAGCTGACCACACAAGTGGCTTCTGGTTCAAGCTATGAAAGCCAACCAGCCAGTAGAAAAGGGCCAGAGCTGTGGACTTTCACAAAGATAGATCTTTCCCATGTCAGATGAAAAGACAAGCTGTCCATCAGCCTATCTGTGCAATGAGATGACTTCCACAAAAATCAAAGCAGAACTGAGCCAGCTTGTCAAGGAAGCAACCATCTGATATGGCCACCTAGCACGAGGGATTCCCAGAGACAGGCAGGAAGTGGGAAGGCCTCAAGGAGTGGGGAGGGCCTGTGTTGACTGGGTAACTGGCCAACAGTGTTCACAAAGGAGGCAGAGCAAAGGGGTGGAGGGGCTGTAACAGATCCACAAAGCTTCAGCACTCTTGTATCCTTTCAGCCTCATCCCCTCTGTGGTGAGAGGTCACCAGTGAACACAAGGGGATGACAAACTACAGGAGGCCTTGTGCTGCTTCAGTATGTTTCTGGGAGCCCAGACACCAAGAGACTGGGAGCAGGTTCCCTGGAGGCCCAGGAGCTACACCATCAAATAAAACCCTCAAAACTAATGTCACTGTGCTGTCACTGTCCTGCCCCTTGGGCTGAAGAACTTGTGGAAGGAAGACATCTGGGCCACAGTAAACAGTAATGAGGTGCCTCAACACAGCCCTCACTCTGGATTTATCACAGTTCCAACCAGGGCTCCCAAAACACGCCAAAGCGCATGCCTGCAGCTTTGCCCCAGAGCAGCTCAGGTATCCAGGAGAAGCAGCACTGTCTTACCTGCGGTGCCCCCTTCAAGCCCTGCACCGTAGGCAGACACCAGGGCAGGATTCCCTGCCTGGCCAGGCTCCCCAACTCGAACTTTGAAAGGGCTCCCGACCACGTGGCTCCCATTGAACTTGACATCGATTGTGTGGATGCTGTTCTCGTGGGGGATGAAGCGACAGCATACTTATCTAGGAAAAGGAGCAGAGGCACATGGTAAATGTGGGCGGTAAACAGCCTGGAGTTAGGTGAGGACACAGGACTCTAGGCCAGTCTGAGCCGGCCAGCATTGAATCATTCAAAGACATGGTTCTGTTGGGATCCTCACGGCTGACACATAGATTTCAAGGCCAGATGGGCTTACTTGTGTGTCCCTCATCAGCCCTTCAGGAACTGCTCCGAATCTCTAATTCTGTTCTACATTTGGGCCCCTGCCTCACAATCCACCCTTTATGAAAAGTTCACTTCTCTCACCATGTTTCCCTGTTTGGCCACTCGAAGGGAAAAAAATACAGTTCCAACTGGCCTCAAGGCTCTGTCATTAAGCTCAAGGCAAGCAACATCCCACAGAGCCATAGCCAGGTTTTTTTTTTTGTTTGTTTGTTTGTTTGTTTGTTTTTCTGTTTTGGGTCATAACATGAGGTAAGGTTATCTGTCAACCGAAGTGACTGCCTGGACTATTCTTGCAGGGTCCCTCAGCCCCTCCCTGGTTCCTTGTACCCTTTATCTCCTTTGGAATTAAGTATGTCCCTCAAAGCGCCACACCCCAAACTCTTTTCCTTTTTTTCTGGTACTTTCAGCACTGCACTTCCCCCTGTACTTCTCAGCTGGGAGCCCATCCTCCTCCCTCATAGCCAACATGCTTCAGGGACCTGGACCCCACCCCCCTGTCCAGGTGTGGTCCCTCAGAGGATAGGGGAAATTCTTTCCCCAAGGTAAATCAATTCATTTTTTAGCCACAGGAAGTGACTTAGGAATGGGCATGCGTCCCAGTTCATTATGATGGGAGGGGAGGCTTGCTGGAGACTTAGACTTCTGTCCTCTCAAGACTTCTGAAAGCAAATCCTGAGATGTCTCTTGACAGATGTGGTATGAAGATGAAAAAGCAGGTGCCGCTGTAGCCAACTTGCTACCGAGAGGAAGGCCAGCCTTGAAATGAAGAAAGAGTAAAGAGGTCTGCTGGGCCTAATGGCACGTGTGGAATCCCAGCACTTTGAAGGGTGAGACAGAAGGATCTTGAGTATCAGGATAGCCTGGGCTACACAGAGAGATCCTGTCTCACAAAACAAAAAGTAAAGCAAAATAACAAAAGGTAAAGGCCTTTAGGTCCTTGGAGAACCCCTGCAAATGGCTGAACCAGTCATTGTTAAAAATCTGCCTTAGAGCTGGGTGTGGTGGCAACACACCTTTGATCCCAGCACTCGGAGGCAGAGGTAGACAGACTGTGAGCTTGAGGTTAGCCTGGTCTGCATAGCAAGTTCCACACCAGCGGGGCTACAGGGAGACCCTGTCTCCAAAAGACCAATTTCAAAAAAAAAAACTGCCTTAGACACTGAACTTTCTAATTATATGAATTACTAGGCTTCATTATTGCATATATTGGCTTGAGGGAATTCTATAATTGTAGCCAATCCTAATGCTAGTCATCTTGCTAGTCATCTTGGATACCACTAGGGCCTCAAATGCTGCCTGGGCTGCCATAGTGATTTAATAAACACAGCCACCTGGCTCTCTGGGAGATACTCCAACAACCCTCTAAAGAAGCAGACTCTTAGCCAGGCATGGTGGTCCACACCTTTAATCCCAGCACTCGGGAGGCAGAGGCAGGATCTCTGTGAGTTCCAGGCCAGCCTGGTCTACATAGTGAGTTCCAGGCCAGCTGGGGCTACAGGGAAACCCTGTCTCAAAAAGACCAAAAAAAAAAAGAAGCAGACTATTTAAATCCCTGACCAACCCTTGTACACTCTAGCCAGCTGTCCTCAGTTCTGCTAACTGTATCACTACCATCCTACCCATTCATCCAGTGTTCCCGTGCCGTGCACGCATGTGTGGGTGTGGGTGTAGTCTGGAAGCCAGGGGTCAACACTGCATGTCTTCAATGGCTCTCCATCCTATTTTTTTGTGAAACAGGGTCTCTCACTGCACCCAGAGCTCGCTGATCTGACTAGACTGACTGGCTAGCAGGCTCCAAAGACCCTCCTATATCTGCCTCCCCGGTAACGGGGTTGCAGTCATGCTCTTGTCTTCTTATGTGGGTGCTGGGGACTAAACTCAGGTACTCATGCTTGTGCAGCAAGTTCTTTACTGACTGAGCCATCTCCCGAGGCCTTACACATCAGAATTCACTCTCGAGCCCAAGGCCAACTGGTCACCAGAAGTACTAAGGATCTGTGGCTTCAAGTCAGCCTTCTCCATCCTCAGGGCTGCGATTTCATCGGCTTTCTCAAGGGCAGCAGCTCAGCACTCTGCCTGTCAAGTGTTCTGATATATTCTCAGTGAGGTGACCAGATGTTAGTTAAATCTGGTCAAGGCACCACGCCTCCAACATCCACTCTTTCTGAGCCTTCTGTGTCCTTTCTGCCTGGTGAGAGACACATGGTCACCCACTGCTCTGGATTTCCACCCTCACAGGATGCAGAGGTAAACACATAGCAAATGTCTAACAGCAGCAGGTTACTTTCTCATGCATCAAAGCCCACACTGAATGATGCCTCCTCTGGGAAGCCCTCCTGACCCTGCCGAGGCGAAAAGGGGCTTTTTTTCCTCCTGCTCTGAAATCTCCACCATCTGCTTCTTAGTTTTCCTGTGGTGTTACTGAGGGTCATCTCCACTGCTGGCTGCATTCTCAGCAGCTCTAAGCAGCTGCCTTTTTATTTATTATAGTTTTGAAAGATTTACTTTTGTTTATCTGTATGTATATATGTGTGTGTTCGCATGCACACGTGAATGCAGGTGCCTAGATAGGGCAGAGGAGGCTCAGATTCCCTGGAAATGGAGTTGCAAGCGGTTGTGAGCTGTCTGACATGGGCACTAGAAACTGAACTCCGGTCCTCTAAAAGAGTAGCCAGAGCTCTTAACTGCTGAGTCATCTCTCCAGGCTTGTTGATTTTTTTGAGACAGGGTCTTATTATGTAGTCCAGACCGGCCTTGAATTTGCAGTTCTCTTGCCTCTGTTTCCAAGTGCTGAGATCATAGGCATTCAGCAACATGAGCAGCGTTTTGAGGGCAGAATTGTGAATTCCCACACTTCACCTTTCTGCCAAGTCTCTAACACATAGTAAACCTCCACCGACAAAATGATCTCTTTAATAATAAAATTGATTGACAGAGTTCCACAAATCTGAGATTATTAAGCCCTAGAGACCGAGATCCTCTCAGAGTAAAGTAAGATCGAAATGTCCTTACACATGTCATAAAGTCAGCAATATAATACTAAGATTTTGCTAAAATACGATTGAAAAAATTGTGATGAATGTCATGTAAAAGGACTCTGAAAAAGCAACAGAAAATAAAGTAGAAGCTGCTTAAAGAAAGGAGAGGACAGGGGTATTATATGTCGCGGTAAGAAGTCTCCACGTTCCTGGCAAACGTTTCAATCCTAATTCATAAACAGTGTCTGGCAGGAGTGAAGAGAACTGAAGACTCTGGCAGTGCTGTGGCTGACGAGTTCCTTCCCAGGAAGGCACAGCTGCAGGAAGTTCTGCCGGAAATACTGGCGCTGGGACCCCTGCTTACCTGGCTCTAGCTCTGACACGCAGCATTCTTCCACAGCTCCCGAGGGGCTACGCACCTCTGCATCAGTCTTTCCTTTTGCACCATTCAACCATATAGCAAAGGATGCTGGCTGGGTAACCTTTAATCCTGATTCCTGAGAATTTAATAAATTGGGCAGGTTATGGCACTTGGAGTTCCTTCTCAGCGGCACACATTGACCCAATGTAGTCAGGAATCCGGGTGACAATTCTCATGAACTAGACCTGGAATATTTTCCCATATAACACCAGACAACAAAATTGGGTGGGTTACCCTCCACATTTCTAATACAAAAGAAAAGAGAAACACTTATACTCAAATCATATCAATTCAGGCTGAGAGAGACGGTTCCTGGGGCTGCGGGCTTGAGGCAACCTAGGCAAGAGGATTATTATCAGATCATCCTAAAGATCTGCACAGGCCAGAAAACACAGACTCTTCCAGCCAATAATAGTAGCAATAATAATGATGATGATGATAAGGCTCCTTTTTATGTTCTTTCTTAAATCAAGGGTAGGGAACAGACAGAACTTCTGATAAAACTGGAAAGGACTGGATATGCAAATTAGCTGGACCTTGCTTTTTGCTACTTTTTCCTAGCAATAAAACTAAGCTGTTAAATCTGACTCTCAGTTTCCTTGTTTATACAATGGATGTTTAAACTAACTGGCCCTATCTCAGAGAGCTGCTATGAAGAGCACATGAAATTATGCTGAACACTCAAAGTTATGCTAAACACTCGGCCCAGGGCCTGGCCCCCTGGGAAGGCTCCTAAATGGCAGCCTATTGTTAAATATTACTGTGTTTAGAAGTTGCCTGTATCTCCCAGAAAAAAGCAATGGGATGAAGTGTGGCCTTGTTCCTCCTTGGGTCAGTTTCACCCCTCATCCTTTATTAGAAAACCTACATTCTTGGAGGAGGAGCTTAGACTCACAAAGACCAGCAGCAAGGCTTCCCATTGCTTACCGGCTGCCTATCCTGACCAGGAAGCTTTTACACACCAGCAGTTTTGGTTTGAACTTGGTGGGCCATCCCTTCCTCACAGGCTGACTTCTGAAGCAGCAGGCATACTTTGCTTGAAAAGGAGTCATGTTAAGATTCTGATGCAGCATTTCTAGAAATTCCCATGTGAGACTGAACATGCCTGTCTAAGGACCACATCTCTCTCTCCAGCAGGTCCTAATACCCTGTCCCCACAGTTAATCCTTAGCCTCAGGCAGATCAGTTCCTCTAGCCAGGTCTCAAATAAGGGCCACATGTGGCTACTGAGTATTAAACTGCCCTGTGGAAATGTGCAATATTGCTACCACTACAAACTGGACTTCACTGCCTGAAGGTTACAGACTAGGGAGGGAGGACATAACACGAACTTAAGGATCCTTTGGTCTCCAGATCACCCCCATTTTCTACCCTCTCCCACAAAGTGCCAGCCGACTCTCATTTTCTACAAAGTCTCAAAAGCAAGATAAAACAAAGCCCAACTAGCACCAGATGTCCAGGCCTCTGCTGAGGCTGATAAATAACTGCATATTTATCAGCATGGAATGACCCAGGGAGACACACTTGCCAATGCAGCTGGTTGCAGAAGTTTGGTGCGTAGCCTTCTGTATATGTCCTGAAATGTTTGAGAACAAACTGACAGGAGGACTCAGCAGGTGTGCTGCAGAGGCTTGCTCAGAACCAGCTCTTGAGCAGAATCCTGTTACCTGAGTCTCTTACCACTAAATCCTCAAGAGGGAGGTAAATGCCTCTGAAGATCTGGAAAGAAATCTCAGAGATGCAGAAAGGTGGCTCTTGGCCCTCAACAAAAGCTGGGTGTATCTCCCTCCATTAAGTCGGCCACAAAAAGAAATTTTTGTTAAGAAGCCTTTAAATGAAACACAAGAAAAACATCTACACCACAGTAACCAGTTAGGACCCTGGGACTCTCCAGTTGAGACCTCCTCAATCTATGGGCTGGGACTCTGGTTTGTTTCTGTCTGGGTCTCTCATTGAAAGACTCATGTTTGGAGTAATTAGTAGCAGTCTAATTCTCTCAGCATAAGATTAGAATATCAAATACAAACCAAATGTGTGGCTCTATCACCAATTCAAGACTCCAAATTAGATTCTAACCCAGTATTTTCAAGAATCTGGGGCAGCCAAATGCTATTTAGAAACTCCATTCACTAGGCATTTCATTTTGAGATTCTGGTATTACTCTGTAGCTTAGTTGCTTCTAATTCGACCAAATTATTTTTCAGCGTTGTGAGCACAGGCAGCCCCAGTCGCTCTTGGTTTGGCACTGGTGCTAATGTACCCTTGAATTAAGTGTGTTTGGGGTGGGGTGTATGTACACCTGTTGGCATCCTAGAAAGCTGAACTATGCAGTTATTTGCCACCACCTCAGTGGGGAAAGTGAGGCAGGTGAGGTCACCAGCACAGAGCACAAGCTTTGGGAACAGAGATCTACTTTGGCACCTTGTACTAGCTGGTTCCTGGGGCCGAAACACTACTCACCAGGATGTTGCAAGGATTTACTGAATAAAGTTCTTAGCATAGCTCCTTGAACATTTATCACAAATACATCACTCTAATAAAAAAATTGCAGTGAAGTTAATTTTGGGGAAAGGAACCCAACAACAGCAGGCTATATATACATCACTAGGCTGTCAGTTTTGTCTGCACTGTTTTGAAAGCCCTCCTGCTCTAATGATTAACAGGCTTCCTTTATTTCTCTTGAATAAATACTGAAAAGCAAACTTGTCCCTGAATGCTAAGGTGCGCCTTGCTGACCTAGTATGTTTCTGCTTGCTCACACTGTCTTTTGCCCTCAGGGTGTGGGGAGGTGATCCTGCCACACATATCTTTCCCCAAGATTGGCAACACCTGGATGCTAACTGTCAACAAGGCCTGGGCACCCAAGGGAGGATTAAAGCAGCCTCAGGAGTCCAGGGTCTCTCTGGTTGGCCTGTGGCTAAGGAGATGGATGCTTCCTTGCGTCTTCATAACAATGAGGTGGTGAGCATCGTCTGACAGGCACCAGGTAGGGGCTGTCAGGGATGTGCTCATTGTTGAACTTGATAGACACCTTGTAGTTACCTGTTGGGACAGGAAAGCCTGACCATTTCAGAGATTCCAGAAAGGTGTTTCCAGAGCAGCCTCTTGCTTCTTAGCTGGGCTCAAATTGCTTCAGACTGGCCCTCCTTTAATGGACACAGCTGACTGGCTAAAAGAAGGTCACCTGGCTAACACTGAGCCAATGGGATTTTCTTAGTCGGGCAAGGTCAGGGATTCTTCATTTGAGTCCCCAAGGTCCCCCAACAGTCTATGTATAGAATCCAGATCCATGGACTTGAGTAGAAAAAGAAGTTGCAACCTTATTTTATTGATATCCTGACATCATTTATACTCATCACTCCTTCGAAATTAAGGTCATCAATGGACCATCACCAAATTTTGTGTTTTAACAGAATAAAGACAGGTGCAGTTCACTGTTACACAATTAATAACTATAGTTTCATATAACATCTATCCATCCGAGATAGGGTCAGTCTCTATAGCCCTGGCCAGCAGTGTGGAGGTCACTATGTAATTCAGAATTCAGGCTGGCCTCAAACTCATGGACATCCTTCTGCCTCAGCCTCCTAAATCTTGAGATTACAGGCATGTGGCATCATACCCAGTTCTGATAACTGTATTTTAATAGAATTGATTTTTTTTTTTTTTTGAGACAGAATCTCCCTGTAGTTCCAACCGGCCTGAAACTCACTATGCAGGCCAGGCTGGCCTTGAACTCATAGAGTTCCACCTGCCTCTGCCTCCCAAGTACTGGGATTAAAGGCATGTGCCACTGCGCCCTGCTGGAAGTGATTTCTTTTATAATTTGATGGACTCATGTTGTGTACTCCAAAACATTATCCTGAGAACAGATAGGTTTTACCAGATGCCAAAAGGGTCTCTGGTACACAAAAGTTGACAAATCACTGTTCCAGGAACCCAAATGTTGAGGCCACTCTCCTAAAGCAGGAGAATCAGCCACAGGTTATGTATGGGCAGCTGATAGTGGGGCTGGTCAGTCAGTGGACAGAATGAAACATTTGAAAGCAAGCAAGCAGAGAGGCCAAGAGTAAAAGGTCAGAGATGATGAGAAGATTTCTTATCTCTTTGAGGCCTAGCTGTTTTCTGTAACTGGGCTTCTAGAAGGCTCTTCCATGTGCCCCCACATGCAAACTCCCATTTACTGGAGCTGGCTTGATGGATTTCTGATCCTGGTGGCTAAACCATCTCCAAACAAGGAAAACATCCTTAGTTAACCCTTGAGTACATACCAGGCTCTTGGGCAATATAAGGCACACCGCATGACCCATTTTTATGGTCATCAAATGTAATCTCGGCCTTACTAGGGCCCTCAACAGCAATGGAGAGGCCTCCAGCACCTGCTTCCCAGGTCCAGATGCTGAACTCGGCTGAGAGCAAAGAAACACCTGGTTAGTGAGTGAGCCTGAGAGCCCCTGCCCCTCTTCTAGTTCAAGCCAGTAGTGCCCAGGCCATTGCCAGTGCTTTCTTTTTCCCGTAATTCCAAGCAAGGGCCATCATCGTGGTTTCTCAAGCACCAACGATGATCATGAAGTTCATGGAGAATCTAGCACCACAGAACATACCCAATCCAAGACAGAAAAGGATGAGAACGTTTAGGCTTTCCCCTGACTTCTTCCCACAGCAGCCATCATAGGAAGGGACCCATCAAATTAGTTTTGCAGCATTCTAGTGTGTTCCCCAGAATACCAGGCCCTAAGAAGGCTCTGGAAACAGTCAGCACTCTACTCTTAAGAGACTCAGTGCCTACTAATGTTACAGACTTAGCAAAATCCCTCTCAGCCTGTTTGGCTTTGGATAGGTGAGCGATTTCCCTGAAAGTCGTCTCCTTAGAGCAACAGGTACACATATACTGCATACCTATTTTTCTCTCGTCAAAACTCACCCAGAATTCTTACCTGGGATCCCTGCCTCTCCTCTCTCCAGGCCACAGCCTCCTGCCCTGACTTTGTGGGCTCCCCCTTCACCGAGTGGCCCCACAGTGAACTGGAAGGGGCTCCCTGCTATGTGCTGCCCATGGTACTTTACGCTGACCCTGTGAACGGCCATCTCCTGGGGTACAAATCAGACACAGTGCAAGTTCTTCCCACAGGCACAATCTCTGCCTCAGTGACATGGCCAGACGGGCTGGTGACATAGGCAGACACGTCACTGCTGTTGATTTCTGAGTGGGAGGTTGGGAGAAGATGATGATCAGGGCAAAGGCTAGGGGTAAGACAGGGCATGCAGAGGGGTGTGAGGTAAGTACAGGTGCATGAAGTGCTTGATTTCCCTCCCCTTGGGGCTAGAGGTCTGCCCTCCTGCAGCCAGCATGGAGAGGCAAGACCCTTCACACTACCAGCAAGATTAGCTTTCTAGGGGCACTGACACTTCCTGCCCCACCGTGTACATTGCCAGCTCTCATAGCTGAAGCCTAGTGAACACCACATGGCAGCTTCAAACCAGAATCTAAGCTGGGAGTTACAGCATGTGCTAAAACCCACAGTGGCTCAGGTGTTTCTATGAAAAGGTGGCAGAACCATCTGTCATGCATAGGTGAGCTCTTTTCTATAGAGAAGTGGAAAACACAGGAGCCTCCATCTCTTATTGTCAAGAAGCTTTGGTGTTTCTTTGGGCAACGAGGACGGTCAAATGCATTCAGAAATAAAAGTGAACACTAGCCAGTCTCGTTGGCAAAGGACAATCATGCGTGAGCAAATCTTTCAGCAAACGGAGGACCAGAGGCCACACTTTCAGAGAAGCAATGCCTTGGGTCACAAGCATCAGGACACAAATTACGTCTATGCTACAAGCTGATGCGTGAGCAAAGCTTTCAGCAAACGGAGGACCAGAGGCCACACTTTCAGAGAAGCAATGCCTTGGGTCACAAGCATCAGGACACAAATTATGTCTATGCTACAAGCTGCTCACATCACACAGACAAAACTCTGCCTTCACTGGTGTGGAGGAGACAGGTGGCTGTCACTGGGCACTGCCATCACCTAGAGCCCAAATGAAACTGCACAATGCAGCAGTTCATGACTCTGAACCCTAAGGAAAGAGAAGGAAAGGGAGGTTGAGGAGATGTCACACCATGGTATAAGACCCAGTGTTTGTGTTCCTCCAAGATTCTTATGGGAACCACTACCCTATGGCATACAGGGGTGAGGCACTGGGGAGGCAATCCAGATGTGATGAGGTCACAAAGTGGAGCCTTCATGATGGGTTAGTGCCCTCAGAAGGGTCCTGAGCACCTCTCCACCTTGTGACTAGGTAAGAAGCTGGCTATCTGCAACCTGGAAGAGGGTCTTCACTGAAACCTAGCCATACTGACTCCCAGTCACCGTAACTGTGAGAAACAAGTTGTCTGTTGGTTGCTACACAGTTTATGTTTCTCTGTAATAGCACCCAAACCTACTAAGGTACCCCATGTGGCCTGGATCCCCTGGAGCTAACAAGCTCTCCCATTTTAACTGATGAGAGAGGATCAGGTAGATAGTAAGGGGGAAAGTGTCTCCCTCAGCCTACTCTGCTATTAAATAATTGAAGAGAACAGCCAAGTAGTCAAGAACCAGAAGAGGTTTAAGACAAAGGACAGACATCCACACAGTACACAGAGACTTGCTAATTCCTCAGGAGAGGACGTGTCAAAGAGAACAGAATAGATCATTTGCAAAATAAAAAATGGAAAGCAAAAACAAAGTCATTAGTAACGGCAGAAACAAAACTGAAAGCTACATACAACACTTTTTCCCATGGGAATGAAAGGCAGTGCTTGGTGCTAGTGTGTTGGGGAACCCTGCTGTTAAGGTTGGCTCCTTTCTCAGCAGGAGCTTCCTGCCTGACATACCTGGAAAGTGCCACCAAGCACAGATGCTTGACCTCATTTAAAACATGACCTTTGGCATAGTTACCTGGAGGAAAAACTACCTCCTAGGTTATTTCTATATGATAATTAGGCATTGCCCGTTAGTGGGATGATAGGAGCCTACTGCCACATGTAAATAAAGCATACTATGAGCACCTATCAGCTGAAGCATTGGCTACTGCCTCCACACTATATTTTCCCTGACCCCACTGAATAAACAGAGCTGTTTCACTGAGCCTGGAGCTGTTTGTATCACTGAACCTGCCTCCCTGGAAGGGCTTTCTTCTATCAGTGCTCACTGGCCATCCTGACCCCGTTCGTCACTTCTGCTCCCTTTGTCCTCATGGAACAGTGGCCAATGACCCACAAGGGAAGGGAGAGACCCCACACTAGTGGACAATGGAATGAAGAATGGGGAGACAGCAGCACTGATCTACTTCTGGAAAACGGCTTTACTGAGGCATAGTCATGTGTGAAATGCACTAGACTCATCCTGGCAATCCATGCTCCCCCTCTCCACCTTGGGGCACATAAACCTTGTGCCATCATGTGCAATCAACACATTCTTTAACAATGATTTTGTAATAATACATTCAGGCATGACTAGCATTGGTGTGTATGTAGGCTCAGAAGGGAGAGGAAAAGGATTATGTACAGCATGAGGACAGCTGGAGGCACAGGGTTGGGAAGTGAGCTCCCTGCCCCTCATGAGAATAGACACGAGCATCTTTTGTGTTTGCGTGTTCATGTGCATGTGACTGGGTGCACGTGCACATATGCATGCTTGTATGTGGAGGCCAGAGGACAGGCTCAGGTGTTTATAGGACTCATCCACCTTGTTTTTTCAAGACTGTCTCACTGGCCTGGGGATCATCGATTCAATTCAGCTTGACTGGTTAGTCAGTCAGTGAGTCCTAGGGATTTTCCAATGTCCACCTCCCCAGCACTGGGATTACAACCACGTGCCAGCAAGCCTTTTTTTTAAAAAACAAAAACAAAAAACCAGAACAACAAAAAAAAACTAGGGGTGGGTGTGGTGGTATGCACCTTTAAACCCAGAACTCCAGAGGCAGAGGCAGGCAGATCTCTGCAAGTTCAAGGCCAGTCTTGTCTACATAGCTAGTTCCAGGCCAACTGGGACTACAGGGACACCCTGTCTCAAAAAAGACAAAACAAAACAAAACAAAAAAACCCAAAACAAAACAAACAAAAACTTAAGTTCCTTAGTTTCAAAAACTAAAGTTCTCCTACTTGGGCAGTAAGCACTTTACCAACTGAGATATCTCCCCATGAGCATCTCTTAAGACTACCTTTCCCTTCTCTTTAGAATCTCTGTAACTCCACAGCACTTGCCAGCTTGTGGGCAGAAGAGCCTTGAAACTTTCACTAACACAGCAATTCTCTGAACAGAAAGAACCCAGGCCACGTTTCAGGCAGACTATGGCCTGCTTCTCAATTCAGGAATAAAAGACAAACAAAAGTGTGGGAAGGCCGATGCTGCCTCTTAAATACTTCCAGGCACTGGCATCAGCCATGGTCTTCCACTGGTCATCAACTTCACTGGAAAAGAATAAATCTAAAAGCATATCTAAGTTCCCCTAGGCAAGACAAGAAGACTATTTTTAGTAGGAAGAAGAAAAAGGTAGTAAGTCAAATTTTCCTAAATAAGCCTTTGTGAAAAGAAACAAAAAGTTCAATGTAGTGGCACATGCCTGTAATCCCAGCACTGGAAAGGCTGAGGCAGGAGAATCATGAATGTGAGGCCGGTGAGACCCTATTAAAATGAAATAAAAGGGAACTCTTAGCCACTGAGCCATCTCTTTACCCTCCAGAATTTATTCTTAAACTACATCATCTCTTCAAAACACATATTGCTTACAACTCTTTAAAATATAAACCAGGGTCTGCAGAGATGGCTCAGCAGTTAAGAGCACTGGTTGCTCTTGCAGTGGACATGCTCCCATGGGGTTCCCAAACCCACATGACCGCTAGCACCCATCCTTAACTCCAGTTCTTTGGTATCTGATGCCCTCTTCTGGCCTCTGCAGGCACTGTACCCACTTGGTGCACTTACATGATGAGGCAAATACTCATCACACAGAATTAATAGATTTTAAAAATTAAAATATAGGGGCTGGAGAGATGGCTCAGCAGTTAAGAGCATTGGCTGCTCCTGCAGAGGGCTTGGGTTCAGTTTCCAGTACCCTCGTGGTGGCTGGCTAACAATCATCTGTAATTCCAGTTCCTGGGGATCTGACATTCTCTCTGACCTCTGGGGACACTGTCTGCATGTGGTGCACTTACATATAGGCAAAACACTCATACACATAAAAATAAATAAAAGTTAAAAATTTTTAAAGTGGATAAGCATTGTCTGTATGTGGTGCACTTACATATAGGCAAAACACTCATACACATAAAAATAAATAAAATTTAGAAACTTAAAAAGTGGATAAGAAAATCATAAAATGAAAAAGTCCCCAGAGTGAGGTGGATAGTCTGCTCGGGGTCACACCTAGACTTGACTTTCCAACAGGCTACCACCCTGTTCCACCAGCCCCCAGTACCCACCTGGGATCTTTAGGTTCAGGTCACAGATGCTGCCAACAGTGGCCACAGATGGAGCCCGGCTGGTCCGGGTGATGCTCTCCTTTACTCTTCCCTCACCACTGATCTTCACAGTGAATGGACTTCCTGCGAGAGAAAGAGAGAAGACCCCCATGAGCAGTCCAGAGGCTGAGGCATGACTTTCACTAAAAACCCAAGCACCATGGAGGGAGGGCAAAAGAACTCATACCAGGCACATGCTCATCAGCAAATTTGGTGGAAACGATATAAACTCCAGGCACGGTGGGGAAGTAGGAGACCTTGCAGGCACTGTCCTCCAGGTCCTCTGTCTGGATGTCTACCTTGCTGGGCCCTTCTACTGCCAAGGATATGCCACCACAACCTGCAACAACCCGGCTGTTCTAACAGCAACTCCCTGAGGGAGGAGTGTGGTGGATGTTGGAGACCTCTGTTATGCAAAGTGGAAGCCCCTTCACGACCGGACAGCTCATGCAGCTTGGGATCATGTGCTGCGGGCTCCTTTCATAAGCAGGGTGTCTTCCTGGCATCTTTCCTGTGTCTCCTTTTGAAGTGTCCGCCACAAATGCCATAACATAAACATGGCGTTTGGCTCTGAAAGGTACCATGCCTTCCTGTAATTTCTCCAAGCAGACAACAGTCTAGCAGTGTGGCAGAAGCCCACTTCCATATGTAAATAGAATGCCTCACAAAGCATCTAACAGCCAAAGGTTTTACCACTACCCCCATGGTATAAATGTCTTAGTCTTCTCTTAATGGTCAGAGATTTGGGCTGCAGAGAATTGGGTCGCAGAAAGCTAGGACACAGAGAGCTGGGTCTCAGAGAATAAAGCTGTAGCACAGGCTAAGCCAGTCTTGAGTCTTGTGTCACTACCGGTGGCCCAGTCTCTCCGGGGGGCAGCACTCCCTCGTGACCGACTCATGGACATTCTAGCTTTTGCTGTCTCCGTACTTTTCCCGTGGGGTTTAGTGGCCAGTGGACCTCACATCCTGAGGAAAAGTACACAGGTGGATTAGGGACAGGATTCAGCAGAACAACGCTTCTGCAGCAGAGAAGCTCCAGAGACACGGGACCCGAGCCGCCAGGAAAAGCCTGCAGGGCACCCGCCGCCATGGCCAGAGACGCCTGTGGCCAGACCCGCCAGTGACTAGCCAGGTGTGGCGGGGGAGTGCCATCGCAGGAGTGCGCCCGGAGGAAAAGTACACAGGTGGATTAGGGACAGGATTCAGCAGAACAACGCTTCTGCAGCAGAGAAGCTCCAGAGACACGGGACCCGAGCCGCCAGGAAAAGCCTGCAGGGCACCCGCCGCCATGGCCAGAGACGCCTGTGGCCAGACCCGCCAGCGACTAGCCAGGTGTGGTGGGGGAGTGCCATCGCAGGAGTGCGCCCAGAGAGAGAGCGCACGCCCCATAGTGGAGGCAGAAGAGATATCTGATCCTTAAAATTCAAATAATTCCCAAAGAGCAGAAAGAAAGGAGTCTGTTTGGGGAGCCCATGTAAAGAAGCAAGAGGCTCTAAGATGTTCTATAGCAAAAGAATCCACTGATCATGTCCCATTGAACAGGGGTCCTATGCAACCGCATGCCTTCAGAAAAGGCCTGTACTGCCTCAAGGGGTTATTACCACCCACATAACTAAGAAGCTGAATTTTCAAACAGTAAGTAGTGGCCTCAATCAGGTCAGGAGACCTGAAAGGTTAACAGCATGAGGACTCAACAGTAAGCCTTGAGTCATGACAGAAATTTTCTAGTCTCTGTCCTTGGATTATGACTTTGTCTGCAACTCAGCATGTGGCTGTCACTCAAGAAGGCAGACGATGAAGGCACTGGATGTGATATAGCTTGGGAGAGGCCCAACCTAACTCAGGTCATCTCAACAGGGATCGGGAGGCTCTGCTGCATTTACCCCAAAGCACTGAGCACAGTCTTGGCCAGTTAACCTAACATCCTCTGCTTAGGATGAGCTCAGGAGACCCTGGGAAGCTGAGAACAAGGACAGGAATACACATAATAGAAAAGGGGTCTGTGAGCTCTGGTGAATCTGGGTTTGAATCTCAGAAGCAGATGGGGTGACAGTAAGTCCTGGAGCATCAGTTTCTTAATCTATAAAGTAAATTCCTACTCTCAGGATGTAGGTAGAAGCACCGATAACACAAAGGATGAAGAATGCTTGGAAAGAAAAGGGAATGAAAAGATGAAGTGGTCTCAGCAAAAAGAAGCCAGTTCCCACAAGCTCTGGGCATTTCCCTTGGGACCACCCCACAGACCTGCATCCCTTGTGTCCACGATGAAGTCAGACATCTCAAAAGTGCGTCCTTCTGACAGGCCTCGGCCATAGACCTTGGCTCGGCGTGCATCACCAATCTCAGACTGGACCACCATAATGGATACAGGGCTGTTGGCCACATGATTGCCATTCTTCTTGATACTGACCAGATGTTCACCCACCTCCCGAGGGATGAAAGAGATGCCTGGACCAGACCATAGATTGAGGTTTGTGAGTGGAGGGGGAATAGGAAGGAGAGGGGGTGGGGGAGGGACAATGGTTAGATGCTTATGGAATGTGTTGATGGTCAATTTGATGGGATCTAGGATCACCCAAGAGACAGACCTCTGGGTATGTCTGTGAGGGCATTTCTAGATTAGATTAATTGAGGTGGGAAGACCCTCAACGTGGGCAGTACTAGTCCATGGGCTAGGGTCCTGGACTGTAATTAAAAGGAAGCAAGCTGAGCATCAGCATTCCTCTGTCCCTGCTTCCTGACTGGATGCAGTGTGACCAGTTGCTCACACTCCTGCCGCCACTACTTCCCCATCATGATGGATTATACCCTGAACAATCAGTCAAGAAAAACCCTTTAGGTTGCTTTTGTCAGGTATTTTGTCATAGTAGTGAGAAAAGTGAATCCTCCAATGGTATACTCTCAAAACTAGAATTATGACTTTCTTTGTGACAAGCCAGGGTCCAAGGCTGTCAACATTGAGGTGTGGAGGCACACTTGGATGCAGGTTTACTGCTGCTCACTCTGATGTGCCACCCACCTCCTAAGGAAGGACTTAGGAGCCCCTGCCTCCCACCCATGCAGGCAGTCGGAGCTCACCAATGCGGTTGTTGGGCAGACTCTTTAGCAGATAGGGTTCGTCGCGTCCAGATGGGGCCTTGATGCTGGCCGTCAGTGTGCTGAGGTCAGTCTCACTGATGTCCAGAAGGAAGTCAGCAGCCGAGCCCAGCTTCACTTGGGAGCAGCGTCTGCTATCATCTGAGAAAAAGCCGCAACAACAGCTCCTATCACATATGATAGCTCTGGCTTTCCAGAGCCCACACTCCACATGACACTTAAGAGATGAACAGTCAGGAATCTATTACCCACAGGTACGTGATCAACATGTGCCTCTGACAACCAGTACATATGACCAACACAGGATAATTGGTACATATGGCTGGTTCAAAAGGAGCTTGCAGGAAATGGGGATGCAGATCCTCATGAACTAATTTTTAAAAGAATCTTTGACATGTAGAAGACTGAAACTAGCTACCTATCTCTTACTCTGCACAAAACTCAATTCAGAATGGGTCAGACTTTCATGTGAGACCAGAAACTTTGAAACTGCTAGGGGAAAACAAAGTTATAGATAATCTTAAGATTGACAAATGGGATTACAGGAAATTAAAAGGCTTCTGCACAAAAAAACAAAACAATCACCATATGAAGAGACACCCATAGAATGGGGAAAAAAAACTTTATGTATCAGAAGGGAATATCTAGAATATATAAAGAACTACAAAAATGAAACACCAAAATGAATCAATGAACTCAAAATGGCTCATGAACTGACTAGACAGTTCTCAAAAGAAGAACTAAAAATGGCCAACATTTGAAAGTGTTCAACATTCTTAGCCAACAGGAAAACGCAAATTAGAACTATTTTGAGATTCCATCTTACCCCAGTCAGAATGGCCATTATCAATAACTCAAACAACAATTAATGTTGGCAAAGATGTAAGACAAGAGGAACGCTTATTCACTGCTGGGGAGAAACATAAACTGAGGCAGCTACTATAGAAATCGGTATGGAAATGTCTCGAAAAGCCAAAAATAGGTTTACCACATAACCCAGATATACCACTCCTAGATATATACCTAGACATATATTCTAAGTCAACACACCATAGGATCCTTGCACATCCACGTTTATTGCTATATTAGTCACAATAGCTAGGACATGGAACCAGCCCAGATGTCCGTCAACATATGAATAAAGAATATTCCACATTCACAATGGAATTTCATCTCACACACACACACACAAAAAAAATCTGGATATTTCCTGGAAAAGGAAGGACTATAGCAATGGGAGGTACTGCCCATCTGCCATACCCCGGGAATTCCCAGCTAAGCGTCGATTCCCTCCACGCAGAACTGCTACTTGCTTCAGACAACTCTGAGCACCTTGGGAGAGCAAGAACCCTGATCTGTGCATTTTCTTCAGAACCCACTGTGGGCATGCTCCCAACTCAGCAGGCAGAACAGAGGTCAGCAACACGGGCTACGGAATGGGATAATCTGACTCTAAATCCCAGAATACCATATGAACTTGGCTCACCGACTACCTTACCAAACCTCTGTTTTCTGATCTGTAAAAAGGAGTGGAAACCTTATCTAGTGTGATGCTGATTGGCCTCTTTGAGTTCCTGTACCCAGGCTGTAAGTATTATCTTAATGCCTCTATTTGAGAGCTTGTTCTCCAGATAGTAGCTCTTGTTTTTCTTAGGTTATGAGTAGAGGAGGAATTTGGGCAGCCTGAATATAAACTTGCGCCCTGGGTGCAAAGAATTTGTAAAACCCAAGTCCTAGCCTGCTACCCAGGCTGATAGAGGAGTGGGGGTCAGGGACAACTCCATCTCCCATGGGGGAAGCTCATGCAAGCCAGACAACCCTACCTGTGATCTTGGAAGTGAAGGGGCTGCCAGGAATGTGCTTGTCATTGTACCTGACCAGAATGCTGTAGTCGTCTGGCAGAGTAGACAGGTAGGTCACAGAGCATGTTCGTCTTTGTTGTCAATGCAGCTGATTTCTGCCTTTGAGGGTCCCTCAATAGCCAAGTCCAGACCACCTGTGGGTGGGACAATGGAGGGAGGACAGTTAGGGAGAGTTTCCTTGTTCTTACAGGGACAACTCATCAGGAACAAGAGACTGAAAATGAAGCAGCCTGCAGGGCAAAGTCCATTGTGAAGATATGCCACTGTGAACTATTCCCTTAAATAATTCCAGCACTCCAGGATGTGACAGATGAGGATGAGACGATCACAATCAATCAATCACACACACAGGATGGGCTAGTGTAGACTATCACTGGTGGTCAGGGTGGATGCCACCATTAGAAGCACAGGTTTAGGACTCTGAGAATACTGTGGTTGGCAAAGTGCTATGGCTAGAATGTACTACTAAGTAACTTGTGGGTGATCCTGAGGATTACTGAGCAGAAAGAACAAAAATAAAACCATCCTTGACCAAAAGCCCTCTTGAATTCTCAGTGAGTCCCATTAACTAATTCATAAGATAAAATCAATTTCTTTCAGGTTATAAGTATTTAAACATGTCTGGGTAGAAGACAGAAGAGTTTGACAGTGACAGATTTTTATGAGAGGGGAAAAAATGAGACAAATACTGCCATACATTGGTGATTTTTTAAAAACTATTTATTTTTATTTTATCTGTATGAGTGTATTGCCTGCGTGTCTGTGAGTGCACCCATGTCGTGCAATGCTGCGGAGGTCAGAAGAGGGCTTTGGATTCCCCTGGAACTGGAGTTAAGGATGGTTCATAGCTGCCATGTGGGTGCTGGAATCAAACCCGGGTCCTCTGCAAGAGCAGCCAGTGCTCTTAACTGATGTGCCAATTCTCCAGCCCCTTTTTTTCTTTTTTTTCAAGATGAGGTTTCACTATATGGCTCAGGTTGGTTTTGTATTCCTGGGCTCAAGTGATGCTCCCACCTCCACCTCCTGCATGGCTGGGACTGTATGTGTGTGCCACTGTGCCAGCTTCAATCATGTACACTTGACTCTCCACTGGAAGATTACAAGTTCATACCCATGCAAAGCACACGGTACCTTCTCCTGCATCCTCGGTGACAATTGTGAAGGTGGCAGTTTTGTTGGCTACTCCATATACAAGGCCTGGACCATATGCAGAAACACTCCCATTGTTGGGGTAGTTCACATAGAACTGAAGAGGGCTCTCCATATTTGCCAAGGACACAAACAAAGACGAGATTCATTAAGATCATTAAGATACCTCAGGCAATCAGTATATATTAGTGTTCACCTATCAGCAGACAGGTTTGTCACCTCCTGAGGCTGCTCCCAGACCAGAGGGAGAGGAGCTGGGTCAGGGGGATTCAGCTGAGCTTGGCAAAACAGGAAGAGGCATCTATACCATGTGGAGATACAATCTGCATACTAGAGGGAAGGCTGCTTGCCAATGCCATTAAAAACATAAGGCATCCTGATCTAGGGAGCCGGCCTCTAGGAGTGGACCCCACAGTCGTACTCTCTGCCACCCTTACCCTCAGCCTATATAAGCTCTTTAATTCCCAATGTTCACACGAAAAGCCTGAAGAAAGTCAAAAAAGACTTCAGCAACTAATAATAGGGAATGATCTACTCATGGAGCATTAAAAACAAACTGTATGTACTAACGAGAGATTATCCACTGTGTCACATTAAATACAGGCAGAGCAAACTATCTTCATATATAACATATATATATACATGTATAATTATAACCCATCTATAACACCTAGGTTGAGCATGACTGTTTTTTATGTCATTAGAATATTTAATCAGAATCAGGTAACACATGTTTGCTTTAGTCACATACTATGCATACATATGAACATAAATTAAAGCAAGTGACAAGCTCAGAGAAGTACTTAGAACTCCCACCTCAAAAGGCTAAATTCTCAAATGGGCCAATGATCCAATAAAAATGAACCAAGAATACAAATGTTCAGTGCACAGAAAAAGAACTGGGAAAGACACTTTCCAAAAGTAGACTCCATGGGCAAGGCTGCGGAGTGGCAGGTGCACTGGTCCACTGCTGGGACACAGATGTTAGAGCCCCAGAAAAGGCAAGATGGGAAAAGGTACTGAAATTACAGAAGCCGGTAGCTGTCTCACACCTCTGTCCAGGGGCCCAAATCCCACAGGTACACCTCAGCAGGTGTGAGGAGCAGATGTGAAAGGCTATTCTCCCCATAAAACTGGTGCCAGCAAAGGTGGGAAGAGCTGAAATCCCTCAGCAGGGAGCCAGAGGAATATGCAGTGACTCAGCCAGATGATGGATGGGTACAAGTTATGAAGACACTCGCCTAGGCAGGTCTGCACAGCCTTCCTGGACATGCTGTCAGAAGAAAAGAGTAAGGACATACTGATGTATAAGGACAGACAGATGTGTGGAGTACTCTGGTATTTATGGAAAAGGGTTTTAAAATCTGTGCGCCCATTTTCACGTAATCTAAAGAGTCTCCAAAATTGGACATTCAAATAACCAAGAGTCAGTCTCAAGGAGAAGTCAGGAGGAGGTTACAGGTGTAAACATGTCACCAACTCAAAATATTAAAAATATATAAACAGTTACAAAAAAAAATAAAAAGAAAGAGAAAAACCAAGAAGATTAACATGGTGCTGGTCAGTGGCCAGGAAACACAAGCTAGCTTGTTCCTCCTCAAGGGCCATCTCTCCTCTTCTTACCCGATCCCGAACCTCACACCCCACAGGATTCTGCAGGCCAGGCTGGAAAGTCTCTCTCTCTGTGCCTATTTTTCTCCAAGCTTGATCTTTGGCCACACTTTGCACAGAGACAAAGAAAACAAGCACCGCCTCAAGGCCCTGCACTATGACCCAGGATGCTGAGTGTATTATCTCTTCAGGAAGTAGGTGCATTGTGCTGGGGTCTCAGGCTGTTTTCACAGGCAGGTCAGCACAGCACTCTTGGGTCTACCGTGGAGAGACCATTAGTCTCCCACACGTTCAAGAGGCCATCCAAGCTGCTGGGCTCAACTTACCTGGGATGTGGGTGCCCATGTACTTGATGTGCATCTCATGGAGCCCGACTTCAGTGGGGGCATATCTGACAGTGACTGTGCCATCCTTGTTGTCCACAATCTCAGGGGTGGCTGTCTTCCGGGAAGGCATATGAACCTCTCCTGGACAGCCAAGGACACAGGGCAATGAGCCCACTGGTGGCTTTCCCCAAGCGGCTGACATAATACACAGGTGCCCTCATAACAAAGGCCATCAGATCCAAGATGGCTCATGCTGCTTCAAACAGCCAAGTCCGGCAGTGGGAAAACCAAGACTTGCTTGCTTTTTTTCATGGGTTCCTTTTGGTTTCCACAAAATGCAGGAGGCAACTCATAAATAAATGGTTTCTACAACTGGCAAATTAGAAGCTCAGATGGGAATTGGGAAGACCACAAACCTAGCAGAGCAGAACAATCCAAAAGAAATGGGCACGAAGAAGCTGAGATTCAAGAACCTTGTACACAGATCTGTGCCAAGGTCAGAAATGGGGAAAAGTGAGCAAATAAGAGAAAATGGGGGAAAAGGCAAACAGGAACCTGGTAGTGAAGGGGCATCAAAACACAGATGTTCTTAGCCTAAAGAGAATTGCAAGCCCTCTTAAGAATGTAACAAGATATAAACGAACCACCACTTCAGAGAAACATGGTCTGCAATCTTAGGGGTCTGGGGACTGGCCTGTTAGAGCAAGAACCAGGTCACTGGGGGAAGTCCTAAGAGTGAGACCTGGTGAAGTTGCCTCCCCAGCGCTTACCTGTGATTTCTCCTTTCCTGACAGCAAATGGGATCACCAAGTCAAAAGGCTTAAACCCTAGGCCGTTCATGTCACTCACTGGGACATAGGCCTCTTCAGACACCTGAAAACAGGAAACAGTGGTCACTTGGTAAAACAGACAACAGCAGGAATGAAGGAGCTACAGGGGGCAGAGCCACTGGGAATTCTACAAATCAGGGAGGCCTGGATTTGGAGTGTGGCCACCTGTGTAGTGTGGGCTTTGTCTAGCTGGGTCTCAGCCCAGGGCAGAATCAGAAGGACTGGCAAAATCCCACTGAGTGCTCGCTAGAAACTGCTTGCTTAGTGGTCTGTGTGATGGCTAATCCTGGGTGTCAACTTGACTGGATCTGGGATTAACTGAAATGAGAGAGATCTTCTTGACTGGATCATCTGAAGCTGGAAGACATACCCTAAATGTGGGTGTTACCTTCTGATGGCAGCCAGTATAAAAGACCACATCAGAGGAGAATGCCTGGCTTCTTGCTGCTTGCCTTCTCTCTCGCTGGTGAGTTCGTCTTGCTGCTGTAGACCGAAGACTAGCTGATCTTTTGGAATTTGTCAGGCCTTCAGCGCCAGATTGGGACTACTGAGACATCCAGCCTCGTGGACTGAGTGACTACAGATTCTCAGCCTCACCAGTGTGGTGCAGCAATTGTTGGACTACTCGGACTCTATCCTGTGAGCTAAGCTGATAAATCTCTATACATATATATTCATTCTACCAGTTCGGTTTCTTTGGAGACCCCTGACTAATACAGTCTGCTTGTACAATTCCCAGCAGGACTTTTAGGAAAATGGAAAAGGGAGAGACAGCAATGTTCAGATCCCAAGAGGCTCCACCTGGAAAGGTTTAGTTGCTTGTGGGCTGGGAAAGGAGGTGTATTTTAAGAGGCATGGAGCAGTAGAGGGTGGCTTTGCCCCTCAACAGAAGCTAGAATGTGCAAATGGCAGTTTGGAGTCTGAGCAAGAGGCCTGCTGACCACTGTCTAGCTTGCTCTTTAAACACGGAGAAAAACTGCATGGAGCATGATCACAGGCATGATGGCTGGCAATTCATGGCGAGCACATGGTGATGGGGGTGGATCTTACAGAGAAAGTGGGACCCTGGTGATGAGATGATCAGTGGGGGACACACCAATGGCCAGGACACCCAGAGGACTTAAGCAATTCCCAAGCAGGTGAAAGCTTTTCTGAAATGAAGTCTTAGTAAACACAAAAATACAAACAACAAAAAAAAAAAAAAAAAAAAAAAAAAAAAAAAACCAAGTGTATCCAAGGCCTGAATCCAAGGGGACATGCATTTACCGGTACCTCCTCCATGGCTGTGACTTGCCCATTGGTGGCCTGGTCAGTGGCAAATGGAGATTAATTGGGAATCACATTGGATTGATATTGCTATAGCTACTCAGGGTTCTATAACCCAAGCCCTGTCCTCCCCACTGCTCCACTAGGGTGTTGGTTACTGTGGAGTGGTTTCCCTCTATACTGCTCTCCACCTTATTTTTTGAGATAGGGTCTCTCACTGACCTTGGAGTCGATGGATTGGGTAGACTGGCTGTCCAGCAAGCCCTAAGGACCCTCCCGTCTCTGCTTTTCAGCACTGGGATTATAGGCACACACTGCCATGCCTGGATTTTTATGTGGCTGCTGGGGATCTGAACTCAGGTCCTCATGCTTGTGTAATAAGCGCGTTACTCACTGAGTTATCTCCCCAGTCCAGTAAATGTCTTTAAGTTTTTTTTCGTTTTTTTCTTTTTTTAAGAATTGCCAATGTCATGCTCCTGATCCAAGTGACTCAATAGGAAAAGGTCTCTCATCATCTATCCTCAATCTTAATAGCACGAAGCTGTGCACTGTGCCATCTGACAAGGCAGCTTCACTTTTAGGATCAGTTCTAATGGGGACGGTTCAGCATCATGTCACCAGCAGGAAGGTCTTTCAAGGGCTAAGTTATATAGCCTTGGAACCAGGACTTCTCAAGGTGGCAGGCAGTTAAGCTGCTCATCCTTGAATCTGCATGCCACGTGTGTGTGACATAATTGCTCAAGCCTGCAGTGACCCTGAGGCATTTACTATCAATGTGGTACCTGGTGTCTGCTCTTCTAGCCTCATGTCTTTACAAGAAAGCAGAGAATCTACCCAGTGAAGACAGGGTAGTGGGTGACCACAAGGTACTCTAGCTTTCTGAGTACTTAGGACTTTGTGATGCCTCCACTAAAGCATGTGGCCCACTGACCAATGTGATTCCCAAACTTTAACTCTGATTTCTCACTCAGACCCTCTCAGCATCTGGGGTCTCTTATCCCCAGTCTGTTGCAGCACTACCATAACCTCTCCCCAACTGATGCTCTTCCATCCCACCTCATTCTAGCCAACAAGATCAAACCTGCTATGGGATAAGGACAAAGTCTTAAAACTACAACTGGGACCCATCTCTATAAATAAGGACATCAACTTTCTCACTGTACTTTTTCCTCCCCTGCAGAAAAAAAATACTCCCAAATGGACAACATCCAAAGTTGACAAGTGTTTACATACTTGAGATATGAAAAGCTTTCAGGGCTCTGGCATTACGGTTATTAACACCGGTGGAAAGGAAGAAAGCTACAGCAGATATTAGATGGGAAAAGAGTCCCTGGGCTTCTGTTTGGAATGGACTCTGTCTGACTCCATTGCCGTACAACATGAAGTAATTAGAAGGCACTCATAGGCTGCAGGTGGGGCCAGGCCACTGGCAGTCCTGGGACCTGTGGTTGAGGGTAGCTGCTCTTCCACATCAAAGGACACAGCAAGGGAACCCACATGGCACCTGGTATCTGTCTAGACTGGGCACTCCTCATTTTAACAGGGCTCGCTTCTGAGGGTTACATGAGGCAATTCTATGGTTCCACTGTGCTTCAGGAGGAAGAATCTTAAGAATCAGATGATCTAAAAGGTACCCAGAACTGAAAATTAAAGACTCTACTCATTGAGGAACTCAAATGTTCACAGGATGGTTCCCTTCTACCCCTGATCTTCCTGGCTTCAAAAGATGAGGAATCTTCCCCTCCTGCATCTTTCCTATACACAACTAGAGACACCAGGAATCTTAAGATAGGACAGTCAAGTCTTAGACATAGAGTACCAGGACCCTTCCTCCTTAGACAGGGAGCTAGGAAGAACATGCACATGTGATTTCCTTACTGCTTTATATTTTCCTGTGAAAGTGTTCCTTTCTGAGTTAGGCCAGGCAAGGACATTGCCTAAGCCTTTTAGCATGACAGATACTTCTATGACTGAAGAGATTTTTCCAAAAACTCTTTAGTGAGTCAAAGGGTTCTGTTTCTAGAGATTACACTTAGGGTACAAAGTCAAGGATGTGTGGAAGGATGTCCCAGTAAGGGCTCAACACATGATGGCTGTTACTGCTAATAACAGCACGTTCTGGAGAAGAAATTTTGCTTACCATGACAGTGAAGGGGCTTTTAGGAATACCCACACCACCAAAGCGCACATAGATCACATAAGTGCCTGGCTTGGCAGCCGTGTAGAAAATGTCATAGGTGCCATCCTCATTTTCGATGACAACGGCCTCTGCCTCAGTGCCATCTGGGGTCAGAATCGGGCAGGTCACTTTCCCCTTTCCAGCAGTCCTGGCATCTGCCACAAAGCCCACTTCCTCACCAGTTTTCACAGTGGGGGCAATGCCTGGACCTGGAGAAAAGTTCAGGAGAGAATGGATGTGCAAGCCATGGATACTTGCCTCAGATCTCAGATGCTCAAGAATAGATCACACTAGGTTGTGGTATCTTAAAGCTGAGACCTTTACCTGCTGCTAGACAGAGGGGCATCCCAAAGACCACTGGAGAAGGGCATATCCCATCAAGCAGTTAACAAGAATACCTCCTTAGTCCAAGTTCAAGGCCAGCATTTCTATTCTCTCTCTCTCTCTCTCTCCCTCCCTCCCTCCCTCCCTCCCTCCCCCCTTTCCTTGCTTCCTCCTTCTCTCCCTCCCTCCCTCCAAGTTCTAGGGATTGAACCTGGGGCCTCATGCACACTAGACAAGCAAACTAGGCAAGCAATCTAGCACCAGATTCTTTATTAAGGACCAGATACATGTAAAGGGCAGCAAACCAGAATCCCTCCTTCCAAATACTATAGTTACAGAGGGCAGAGGGAGATGAACCAGTGCCATGCATGACACTGACCACAGAAACGCCGAGGACTCAGTTATGGAAAAAGCAATCAGCTCTTCTGAGAAGTGTCCTGCTACATGTGCGTTCAAAGCCACACTGACAGATCTCCCTGGAAGGACAGTAAGTCTCAACCCTGAAGGATGTATGTTCTTAGCCTTGCAAACTCTCCCCAGTCAGTCAGTCAAATCTGTCTGTCTGTCTGTCTCTGACCTGAAAAATCAGAGGAAGGAAAAAGCACACTGGTCAAAATGTGCAAAGTGTGTAAGGGCAACAGGAAGTGCTAACAAAGCTGTTCATACAGTGAGACATGGATGAGAGGACTGGTCTGTGGAAGACCCCAAATGGCAGAACAAGAGCTGAGACAACAGGCACCACCAGACTGAAGAAAATATCATCTCAGGACCCTGCTTAGGAGAGCGAACAGAAGTCTGAAAAGCAAGAGGGAGAGTCCCATTCTATCTACCATGCCCCGACCCAGCAGTTGGGAATCAGGCATAGACTAGAGGTGGTGGTCTGGCCAGTACTTTTCAATTTTTACCATGGGTGAAACAAAAAAGCCCAAGTTAAGTAATTTACTGTCTTGAGCAGGAGATGAGAGAAAGCACATCTAGATCCAGGGTGGAACCACACTGCTCAGTCCAAGAGAAACAAATAATTGCTTTCGGAGATAGTGGTTCACATTGTTGCCCCCCTTCTTATTTAGTGAGAGAGAAACAGGGAGGGAGGAAGGAGGAGAGGCAGAGGGAGAGGGAGAGAGCACACAGATGTATGCGGGCATGCGCACAGTTTCTCCTTCCACTATATGTGTTCTGAGGCTGGAACTCAGGTCAGAAGGCCTGGTGGCAAGTGCCCTTATCCTCTGAGCCATTTTGCCAGCTGGGGATTTATGTTCTGAGATCTGCATAAACAGCAGTGCCAATTTGCAGGAGCTGCTCTTAGAAACTGGAAGGCTCAAAACAGGTGTAGTGAGTATGCCTGGAATCCCAGCACTTGGGAGGTACAGGTAAGAAGTTTAGGACATCGGCTATATAACAAGTCTGAGGCTAGCCTAGGATATGTGAGACCCTGTCCTTGGAGAAAAAAATTTTTTAAAAAAGGAAAATGTCATTTTTGACTGGCAGGAGGGCTCAGTGGGTAAAGGTGCTTGCAGCCCCACGTCACAAGCCTGACCATGAGTTCAATTCCCAGAACCATCTCTCCACATACAATAATAATAATAATCAATAAAAAATATGTTGAATAAAAAAGAGAAACTTTAGCAAAGGTGAGGATCAAATATTTATGAATTTCTGAAAGGAAAATCCCAGATTCTTTCTGTGTTTCTCTATTACTGGTCTAAAATGCTCTCGAATGACTCCTGAACACACAAGCCAACCACTCACAAAGGCAAAGATTTGCTGCTTCTCATGGGAATCTCTGTCAGAGCTGAGACAGCAACAAAAGTATCCACTTCAAAAGTGATAAGGGCTCCCGGCCCTTGCACCATGCTCAGCATCTTTTTTGCCTGACCTCATTTCATCTTTGGATAACCTTGCGATACTGTTTCTGATCCATGGAAAAGTTTCTGGAACCCAAATGTTCTCCCCTCAAAAAGACCTTTATCCTAATTCTGCATGACTGACCCTCAAGACGCTCTGAACAACCTGCCCAGATCACACAGCTAATAAGTGGCAGAGAGAGGCCAGAGGCCAGACTCCTGACCTTGATGTGCCCCTGCATTCACTTACCTGTGGCCAGGCACTTGCTGGCATTGCCTGTCTGTGTGGCCCAGACACGGTCCACCATAGGTGACTCCAATCATATAGCATCCTGTTTTATCAGGGATGTAGGTGACAGCACATGTTCCATCTTTATTGTCGTGGATGGTGGCTCTTTGGGGCTTTCCCTCTTGATCCTGCGAATCACAGTAATGCTACTGTCAACAAGTAGAAATCAATCATGACAACCCTTGCTCCTTAATTGGCACCTCTAGTGGGAAGAGACAGTGATAGCTTAATGAGATCTTGTTCTGCTGTGTTTTGATAGGGGAAAGGAGAGGGTCACAGATCACACCAAGATGGTCTGTCAAGTGAATAAATAGTACTTTAGCACCGCATTCACTGAACTATAGAGATACAAGGGGCAAAAGCTCCACTGGCAGGCAGCCAAACTTTCTCTTCCTTTTCTCTGTACTAACAGGACTCTTAGGTGTACCCCTGAATACAAGGCTCCACATACCAGCATCTTTGCCACCAGGTACAATCATGTGACTGTGACTAACTTCTGCCAAATGAGATGAGAGAGAGACTTCTCCTAGGACTGCTGAAGATAGCTCATTGATCTGGGAGAGCCAAACCCTCCATCACTTGAGACAAGCATCTTTTCTCCAACATAGGTACTAACTGTAAAACTCTCACAAAGATGTGCATCAGGTCAGAAATTAGGTCTTAAAAATCCTCATTTTTATCTTTATCCAGAATATTAGGTCTAACTAATAAGGCTTAGCTCTAAATAAATAAAATCTCAAGCATTACCATGACTTGGACAGCCAGCAGGCCTTCCCCAGCTTCTCTGGCATCAATTGCGAACTCCACAGGTAGGCTGGCAGGCACCCTGTAGGAACTGAGTCCAGGCCCAGAGGCAGTCACTTTGCTGGCATCGTATGTGGGAAGTACCTTTACCTTAAAGGGACTTAATAAGCATGCATATATCCTGGTCAGTAAGAATACAGGTCAGTGCAGTTCTATCTGATCTCTCTTATACAACAAAGGAACTTAGAGCTGAAAGGAGAATTTCTCCTGCAGATAAGACAGAAGATTTAAATCAGAGGACTAGAAGTCCAGTGGAAACACTGAGCTATGAGGTACAAGACATCATATGACAGACTAGTGCTGCCTGAGAACACCCTATGGAAGACAAACAGTCTGGGCTTCCAAACAAGTCTGGGAAACATGGGCCTAAGCAATTTTGGACAATGAATTATGTTCTACACAGAGCTATATGTATAAATGTTTATTCACAGAAATGTGTGTATTGAAGCATGCATGACATAAGCTTTTTTTAAAAAAATCATAAGGGGTATGATTAAAAACAAAAAAATCTTAGCTGGAAATTATGGCGCATGCCTTTAATCTCAATACTTGGGAGACAGGAGGATTTCTATGAGTTTGAGGTCAGTCTGGTCTACATAGTGGGTTCTAGGCCAGCCAGGTTTACATAGTGAGACTCAGTCTCAGGAAGAAGAGGAAGAGGAGGAAGAAGAGGAGGAAGACGATAGGAAGAAAGAAAGAAAGAAAGAAAGAAAGAAAGAAAGAAAGAAAGAAAGAAAGAAAGAAGGAAGGAAAGAAAGAAGGAAATAAAGAAAGACAGTCAGTCTTTGGGAGTTGTTCTAGAGGTGAAGCATTTATACACCATTTTTGGTATTATTATGAACAGGAAACAAGGCTTCCATCTAGTACCATCAGAAACTGCTACAGCAACACAAACTGTCAAGTGAATGGTAAACTGTCTTAATCAGAAAATGGCTTTCAGGGTCATCAAAAGGAAACCTCTGCTAAGCTAATATATTCATTTCTTCAAAGACCCTCAACTTCTTAATTTCAGATTTCCTTTGAACTGAATACAGATAAATGGCTGGACAACAGAATAGGCATCACAAGTACCAAGCCTGCTGGATGGTGCCATATTGTGTGGACTATACAGACTCTGGGTGACTAGCATTGGCTGGTTGGATGAATGGAAAAGTTGGTGAAGAGCTGGGTGGATGAACCATGGAGCAGTGCTCACAGTCCTGTAGGTAGGGCTCGAGGCTTACCTTCGAGGGATCTCTTCATCAGCAAATTTAACAGACACAACGTAAGGCCCCTCCTGGGATGGCATACAGGTCACCGTGTGGGTGCCATCCCCATTGTCCACAAGATGTGAGGCCTGACTGACAACCTGGCCTCCCCTTACTCCACCTTTGAATGAGTTAAAACAGGATCCTACCCATCCCCAAGAGCTATTGGTTTCCACTGATAAGTAACATAAAGGCAAGCAGGTCATAATCACAGGCCTAAGGAATCAGAGGATCCACAATTCACGGTTGCAAAAATGACCCCAAGAGACACCTTTAGCTTTTTGTTGGTCAAAGTACACTCAGTCTGCCCTACTGCCCTAGAGTATAATTAAGGAGACTATCCGTACTTGCTGCTGGAGGGTATATGGTGAAGACACATGTTGCAGGCACGATTTAGCCTTTCAAGCTGGTTAGGCATGCTTGGATGTGGTCATTTTATTCTATAGCTGAGAAAGTGCCAAAGAATCCAGAACTCCGAACAGTAAATATTAACCAATGGACTAGCCAGTCAAGACTTGTACCATCTATGAGTATAGACCACCATGGTGCCAATAAAGGTGCAGTGCCAATCTTAAGGGACAAGGGGGACCTCAACAAGATGCCTTGGGGGATGGAGGATGGCTAGAGGTTATGATAAAGTATAACCAAGGCATACACTAGATTGATCAGGGAGTGGAGCAGGGGTGGGGAAAGGTGGAAGTTACTTGGTGCCCCACCTCCTGCTGGAGCCCTGCCCAGGGAGAACCCTGGCCTCCACCCTCCTCACTGGTCTTCCAGACTCCAAATGCTGACCTGACCTCATCCTCCAGCCCCTACCCAGTAAATAGAACCACTCTTTTTTTGTTGTTTTTATTTTTTTTTTTTACATTCATTCCTTTGTGGGGCAGGAGAGGTGCACTATGTGTAGAAGTCAGAGGATAACTTGAGAGACTCATCTATCTTTTACAATGTGGGTCCCTGGGACTGAGATTCAACTCAGATAGTCATGCCTGATGGTCAATGCCTTTCCCACTAAGCCATTTTTCTGGTCCTATTTATTTATTTATTATTGATTTATTATTTTTTATTGATTGATTGATTTTTAAGGCAGGGTTTCTGGCCTTTAACTACATCATAGTTAAAGATGACTTTGAACTCTTGAGTGCTAGGATTACAGGGGTATGCCACCATGCTTGCTTTTATGAGTATTCTGAATTAAACCCAGGCCCTCATACATGCCAGGCAACACTCTTTTGAGCTATATCCCCAGCTCTCTATGTTGACTTAAAAAAAAAAATCACATCGGGCATGGTGGCTTACATCTTTAATCCCAGCACTCCAGAGGCAGAGGCATGTGGATCTCTATGAGACTGAGGCCAGCCTGTTCTACACAGTGAGTTCCAGGCCAGGGGAGACCCTGTCTAAAACATATACATAATCAACATATATATGTTGATTGTATATATGTATTTTTTTTCAACAAACATTTCTGCTTGTCCTACTCCTGCTGAGAAGCCTGTTGTTCCCCACTGCCATTTGTGTGTGTGTGTATGTGTGTGTGTATGTATGTATGTGTGTGTGTGTGTGTGTGTGTGTGTGTAGTGGGGTGGGGTAAGCCATTTCAGGCTGCTACATCAAAACTCTTAGTCTATTGTTCATAAGCAGAAATATTTTCTTTTTCACAGTTCTGGAGGTTACAAAATCCAAAATCAAGCCACAGGCAGATCCTGTTTGAAGAGGGTTGCTTTCTCACAGACAATGTGTTGCTAAAACTCCTTCCCTGTGCTGGAGAGATGGCTCAGTGGTTAAGAGCACTGACTGCTCTTGCAAAGAACCCAGGTTTGATTTCCAGCACCCACATGGTGGCTACGAACCATCCTTAACTCCAGTTCCAGGGGAATCTGATGCCCTCTTCTGACCTCTGCTGAACTGCACGTCGCGGGTGCACTCACATATGTGCATGCAATACACTCATACACATAAAATAAAAATAATAAATAAAATATTTTTAAAAACCTCCTTCCCTGGGGGAGATGTAAACGTTCACTTCCTCCTCCCTTGGTCCCAAGGACAATTCAAGGTACCATTCGACTAGAGTACACTCTGGGGAACCAATACATTTATTGGGATTACTCTACAGAGTAATGGGTGAAGGGTGTTCCTCCCTAAGTTCCCCCTCCCTCAGCCTTCCCTGGCCTGTATTCGAGCCCTCCTCCAAAGCCCCACAGTGGGTTGGGACATGAGGCTCAGGTGAGGGTTCTGGGCCCCTCCTTCCCCTCGGTCTTTAAGGGGACCTCAACAGTTAACAAGCCTAGCTGTGATGATCTATTGCAAGTGGACACAGCTGAACTGAAGAAGATGCCATCTGTCTGACTGAGAGGAGAGTCCTGTACAACACACCTCACAATCTGTGTCCTCACATGTAAGGGAATGACATCTGGGTCTCTGGGGCCTCCTTTCAAAGAAGTAAGCTGGCCTAGTATGGTGGTGGACACAAATCGAGCATTCAGGAAGCTGAAGCAGGGGGATTCAGAGTTCTGGCTCTATTGGACTGCACAGGGAGACTCTGTCTGAAACAAAACAAAGGTAGTTGTCTATTCCTGAGGGCTTCATCACCATGGCTCAGAGTGTCCTCCTCCATATCACCTTGGAAATTAAGATTTCAACCCATGAATTTTAGGGGCAAAGGAACATATAGACTTGTAGCTCCAGTGTGTATTCTCACTCCCAAACCCTGTTCCTCCCGTGTTCCAGGTAAGGCTACTCACAGTTCCTGGAAAGGACCACAGCTTCTCCAGCCTCTGAGTCTTTGCTGCTGGGTGGAGGTTTGAGGCAGGGCTTCCTTTTCATTTTGTTTTGTTTGAAACTGGACTTTATGTAGCCCAGACTAGCATCAAACTCACTATGTAGCCAAGGGTGACCTTGAAATCCTGAACTTTCTGCCTCTACCGCCCATGTGCCAGGTTCGAGGCGTGCATTCCTATGCCTGACTGCATGAGGGAGGGCTTCCTGGAGGAGGATGCAGTTCAGTTATCCTTATAATCTGACAAGACTGAGATGGGGAGAAAAGAAAAGCAGAAAGCCAACAATTTTTGTGTGCAGCCTTCAGCTGAGCAGGGATCCTTTCCCTGCTAAGGTTCTAGAGGGAAGCTCAGGAAGCTTGGCAGGAACCGGCTGTGCTGTGTTGGACATGCTCTCTCTGTGTGCCTCTGCTTCCTTCTCTATGAAGTGGCCTGAGGCTGCCTGTCAGGGCTGCTGGGGAGAGCAGTAATGCTGACAGGAGTGTACAGGTCTGGCAGGTGTGTTCACCATCACATTGTCCAGACCACACAGATGCATGCTCTCCATCACACTGAGTCTACAATGCATGTTCTCCATCACATTGTCCAGACTGTACAGAGACATGTTCCCCATCACATTCTTCACTTTTGGCTCGAGAGACTTCCTTGTGTATGAGAAGGTGAAGGATTATTTGGTTGGATTCATTTGCAGACATCGCTTTCAAGATGGTGTTACCCTTAAAACTCACCGGGTATGAGCACAGAAAAAGTAGAAACTAATATCTAAATTTCTTCATATGTGCCTAGCTACCCACAAATCACTAGGTTGTCATTGGGAGTGACATTTATTACCTCAGCCTAGCATGAGAAAACAGTGTGAGCCAACTAAGTCAACTTTGTTTTGTTGGGAAAATATACTTTGTCCTTTCTACATAATGAATGTCTTTTCAATATAATTGGAAAATAGGACCAATTAATGTTTTTCTGATACCAGGCAATGCCTAAATATCCCTAGATGAAGCATAAATTTGTTAGTCATAAATATTAGCCAAAAAAGAATATTCATTTTATTGGACGAAAAAGTTATCTAAACTGTTGCCATGATATGTTTTCCCATAGTCTTATTACAAACTTTTCTATCGGGTTTTCCCATCCTGCCCTTATAGAATTTGGTCCATTGCCCACGTTGTTGGCAGGAACTACAGCAGGAAGTGAAGCAATATGATTAATATCATGAACAGGATCGGTACCATCTCCAGTACCAGGAACTGGACCAGGTTCAGCAAGGTCAGCATTGTGAGCAGGATCAGAGGCATCTCCAGCAGCAGGAGCAGGAGCAGGAGCAGGCTCAGCACCAGTATTTAGTGTATCCTCCCTGAGGTCATTATGAAGACCAACAGAACAAGCAATTCTATGCTGGAAAGAGCTGAAGGGTGTGACACCCAGAGAGTCGTGCTCCTCTTTGACCTTTAGTGAAAATTTGAGGTGTTAGTTTTCATTAGAATTTTTTCTATTTTTATTTATTTTTCTTATTTGTGTGTTAGCTTCATTATCTTGATTTTAGTTCTCATAATATTTGTATGCTGTTTC